TAGAAAATAAAAACATGTGTTTGTTGTTACTGATGTAGGTTTTCAAATTCTATTATGCCATTCCAGTGCATAAAAACCAAATCTCAACATTCTTAGTGACTAAATATTGGCAGTACTGTCTGTATGCAGATGCTGGAAGGAGATCTGGAACAGATTATAATCTAACTTTTAGAAATAAATAGAGCATGCACCATTAATATTTCACATAAAAGCAAATGTTTTATATGGGCATCTTGAACAACTGAAAGCTTTCTCTAGATACAGATGTTAAGGTGGGAGAATATACTACTTTGTCTGCTTATTAGGATTTCTAATTGACCTACCTGTGCTGAAACAGTTGTAAATTCTATCCTACTTTCTCCCAGCTGAAGAGTGGTAACAGTGAACCTTTTTTTCTGAAATGCAGCAGAACATTTCTTTGTATGGGGATAAGAGCAACATCCAACTTTCTTGTGAAGAGGAGAAGGAATAGTAAGGCTGAGTTCATTGTGTGCCATTTTTGTGTGTGCTGAGTGTGTGCAGCTACTCTGCACACTGATCTCCCAACGTTTTTTTCTCTCCCAGAGCTGTGGGTCATTGGTGTGGTGCTCTTAAAACAGTGAATTTTAGGGAATTTAATATAAAAGAACTCTAAGGGCCTTTTTTCTATGAGCTTTTTTAAGCTGTTGACAGGTTTTATTGTGTGCTTCAAGTAAATTTTAGGTTGATCTTTCTTCTTAAAAACATTCCAGTGAAGCTCTACTTTCTAATTCAGCGATAGACTTGTGCTCCTTTGTGCTGCCTTCAGGCTGTTAAAATGTGCTTCACAATAAAATGTGCTTATTGCTACTTCAACCAATGTAATACAGTATGGAACTGTAGTATATTTCTTTATACTAGTGGATGTATGTTCCTAGACTAGTTGAGAAGTTTGACTGCTTCAACAAAGGTGTCTTACACTATATATACACCCTCTAGATTAGTTCTAGCATCCACAATCTGATTTGGTAGGGCTTTGTGTCCTGTTTGCAAATGCCTGACTGGTATGTGATGCAATAGACATATTTCAAGCTTCAGTGAAGTTGAAACACAGATGGGTTTATGTTGTGAGTTTTTCAGTGTTTGAGCTTGACTTCTGTCTATTGACTCCACATATTTTATCCCTACAAACTGAATCAGTGAACTGAAAGATGGGAGTGGTAAAAAGAAATGCTGTTGTTTATAAAAAAATAATTGCATTATTGTTGGTTATAGAATGGGAACTGTCAGGCTTTCTTGCTCAAATTTTATGTTCTTCATGCTGTATTTATTATAGGTTAATCAACTTTGCAAAATTGTAGCTTATTTGCCTCTTGCAATATGAATGTGATAGAAAGCCGTTCAAGTTGCATAATTTTTGATGTGTGTCATTTACTGAACAATAATTGAGAATTGAGGAATTTGTAAAGGATTAAAATGAAGTTTTTTCAAGAACATATCAAGTACTGGAAAATATTTTTCATTAATATTACAGTAACCTGAAGCTGAAAGGAAATGGAAGTCCTGTATCTCCTTAATATTGTAATTGTACAATATGATGTTCACTAAATTTAAATTAGACAGCTGCTCTATCCTTCAAAACACATTCTGAAAAGAATAAAATGACATATACAGTCTGTAGAGAGGAAGAGGCGGTGCAGACTCTGATCTCTACTCTCAAGTGGCCAGCAATAGGACACAAGGGAATGGCATGAAGCTTTTTGAGGGGTTTAGGTTGGAAATTAGGGAAAAGATGTTGACCTGAATGTTGATTGGGCACTGGAACAGGCTCCTCAGGGTAATGGTCGGACTGCCAAGCCTGACGGAATTCAAGAAGTGTTTGGACAATGCTCTCTGGCATGTGGTGTGATTCTTGGGGTGTCCTGTGCAGGGCCAGGAGCTGTACTTGATGGTTCTTGTTGGTCCCTTCCAATTCAGCATATTCTATAATTCTACTTACAGTCAGTGAGCTGAGGCATAATCTTGAAGCATACAAACCTTGTAAATGTCTATGTATGTAGTCTTCTTTTGTGGTAAATATTTTAAAGTACAAAGTAGATTAACACTAGGAAGACATTTGAGTTTTTGAGAGTCAGGCTTGCTAGTTTGCCCTGTTAAATCTCCTTTTCTTTCCCAGTCTGTTATCTGGCCCAAATAAATTGCAGTTTGAGAGTGATAGACAACAGGGAAGACTTGGTCTTTTTGACTCTTGAAGGGTATACTGAGGATTAAAGTAAAACAATGTATGTCCAGGTGTATTGAACCAGAAAGAACAACTATATTTTGGTAAATAAATGAGGTATTTTTTTACCAAATACTCAGTGTATTCACTTGGCCAACAGCAGTACCATGAAGAGATATCTAGGTTGCATCTCAGTGATAGGCTCAAGTCTGTTACCCTATATGTAGGAAAGCAGGATCTGATCAAAGTGGCATCAATTGTTACTGAATTTTGTGGATGACTTCCTCTGGGAAAGGAGGTTTCTGGGAACATTATTCTCTTTCTCTGTCTAAATCTGAGAATTTAAGTTAGAAGAAAAGTATATCTCTAAGGGTCAAATCTGAACTGCAAGGTTTAATCTTGCTTGTGCTAAGAAAAGTAGACTTGCATAATGCAAACCTTTTAATCAGAAAAATGTCAGTAAACTTCCTATTCAACAAATCACTCCTGCCATCTATTTATGTAGTAATATTTATTTCGTAACAGTGCTTATTACTTGTTCTTTTCCCTGATGCTTTTACTGAAGCACCTGTTCAGCTCAAATTGATTTAAATTTGCCTGTGCTTGATGTGATGGAATTATTAGCTAAAAATCCAGTTGTATTGTAATTATCTGCTCTGTGCTATGTCTTTCAATATAATTCATATAATCCAGAGCACTTTCAAATGGAAGTGAGGGCAGAATTTGTCTTGCAGAACCTATACCATTTATGGTCAATTGTACAGAAAATATAATGCTTGACCCGAAATTCTCAGCTGATGTGAAGCTGTAACTTAAGAATAAGCTGAGGAAATTTTACCTGGGACTTGAGCTAAATGGGTATGTTTTGGCAAATGAGGAGTTAGACATTGGCATTCAGTGGTGAAATGGCTTTGTTTTGTGAATAAATGCGATATCTGAAATAGTACTTGGTATTTTCATATAGAAGTACAGATGATGAGCTGCAGAAGTATGGAAATTGACTGTAGTAGCTGCAACACCTACTCAAAACAGCCCTATCAGAAGACAGGGCTAACTTAAGACCGAAAACTTTAATTTAAAGATCTAAGAGTTAATGTGTACCTTTCTGAAAGAGCTGAAAAAAATAGTTTTGAATTATTTTAGTACTTTTAATAGAATAATAAATGATTATTCTTGAAAGCCCTTATGCTTTGTAAATTAATATCTAATTTTCCTCTTTAATGTGAGCATATCCATTTTTCTGGTATTTAATGTGAAAAGAATGGTAAAGCTCATTATTATACAAGTCTTGGCTGGTGTTGTCTTTCACTTTTTTAAATTATAGAAGCTAATAGCAGATTGGTATTTGCAGATGAAGCAATCTTCAATTAAATCCCAGTTTGCCTGTACGTATAAAAATGATTTGAGTGAAATGAATGGTCAGCATTCCTGTGCAATTCCAACCTGCAAACATCCTGTACCAAAGCAACATTTAAAAGCTGGAAAGCCCACAGGTAAGCTGTGGTAGGATTGAATAAATAAATGTGATGGGTAATACTTTAAATGCTATCCAAGAAGCCTTTAGTATAATTCAAATATTTTCAAGAAAAGGAACAAAAATGTCTCATTGTTCTCCATGTCTCATATGCCAGTTAAATCTTTTTGCAATCAAATTGTAGTGCCAATGCTTTGAAAATATAAATGTTTGAAAAGTGTGTTGATGCTATCTTGCAATAAAAAAGTGATATATGTTGCATATATGACATATTTGTTCTTATTCTACAAAAGTAAGCCAAGTGCAATTTATATTTTTGCCATTAAAAGGGGGGAAAATTTGTTTTACTGCACTACAAGCTATATAATATATAAAATTTCTATGCCCTTTAACCCTCTCTTCCAATATCTTAAAGTTATAAATCCACTTCCCTAAGTTAGTTCTTACATGTTTTTGAGCAATATAATTTTAAATTGGCAATGCACTTACGAGCACATAGCAAATTTAATAGCAATGACAAGCATAGCTTTGTTTTATTGGTAATACATTATTTTTGATTAAAAAAAATAACATGGCAGTCCTTATAGAAAAAGGATGTGTGTTCCCAGGTAACTTTTTATTTCCTCACATATGTTTTTGATATTCTTACATGACAGAAGGTCCAAATTCATGTCTTGATGTACCAGGGCTTGGAACTATTTCTGAAAGTGTTCACCAGACTAGAAGTTATACAGAAATGGGAAAGCTGAGTTGTCAGCCAAGGAACAAGAGCTCTGAGAATGAACAGATGGATTTGAATAATGACAAAATAATCTGTGACAAGGAAAGTGAACCATCTTTGCAAAAAAATACTAAAAGACTTAAGACTTCAAGCAGCTCTAAGAAGGAATTGGACAGCAAAGTTGGTGGAAAAAGAAAACAGACCAAAACTGCAAGTAAGAATAAGTTGATTGCTGGTCAGGCAAAATTAACTCGCTTTTTTCAAGTCTAAGTTTTTTTTTTTTCACATACATATATGTTGACAGATGTAAAATTTTGCAAGAAAACAGGTGAAATTTATGAATTACTTCCTTTCATATGTAAATAATTGAAAGTAGCTTGTATATTATAGTAGACAATTGCTTACAAGTCTGGATTATGCTGAAGTATTTTATTTTTTAATAACAGTACATTGTGAATGATTACACTGGTATTTTTGGTAATGAATTCTGTATCCCTCTACAGTGCAATGGGAAATGATTTTTGGATGTGTATGCGCAGTTACACTAAGACTCAGTAGCTCCAAATTACATTAAATTCAGAATAAAATGCTTAATCTTCAGAGAGGGTGGTGGGGATAAGCAGTTTTCACACTTGCCAACAAGGTCGATAGACTCTTCCCAGCATACACCTGAGGACTACAGGAGAGAAAAAGAGCTTGAAAGTTTAAACCATCAAAGAACCAGAATTCTTATGGCTTCTGGAAATATTAATTTAACAAATGCTCCCTCCCCCATGCGACAAATCATAACAGTCATGGAGTCTTAAAATGAATCTCTACCAAATTGCTATATTGACATTGCACTGTACTTTACCAGAGTGAAGTAATTTTCTGTGTAAAAATAAAATATATTTACTCTCAAAATCTCTTCTTCCAATAGGTAATTTAGCTGAATTTTCTTCATCTGTGGTCTCTCTTTCCTGTATTGACTCACTATTTTGAATTTCAGTGTCAGCTGGAAAAGCTATGGCTCCCTTCAGTGCAGGATAAGGTAGTTGCTTTCTTCCCAAGTTGATTGGCATAACATGATTGAAGAAATCATGCCTGGAACCTCTGTCCTGTTTTGAGGGAAGACAAGAGGTTTATCTTTATTTTGTTTCTTATGTTCCAACAGCGCAGTTATTTTATGTTTCAAAATCATACCTTAATAGTAATGACCTGTATTGCATCCTCGGCCAAAATGGTGTAATGGACATAATTAAATAATGAGTCCCACGTTTGGCAAAGTTAAAAACCTGTTGCTGCATAAAGGGACATCAACAAATATACATATAGGTTTCTTCTTATCCCTACCCCCCCCACCCCCAACCCCCATCCTCCAAGTTTTGGCTACTGTCTGTGAAAATCAGATTTAATTCAACTCTCCAAGTTACACATTTAGAATCTTGGCATTAGATATATAGAATTGAATTTTTTTTCTTGACTATGTTATGTTGAACTGGTATTTTTATATAATTACCTGGTTATTGATTTAAATTGTTGCACTTGTTTTCTAAAGGGGTATAAATGAATTTCAATTTTACAATTAAGCCAAAATTTAAAAATGAACTCACCAAAGACTTCGTGTTTCCAGCATTCTTATCATTGAAGACACTGCTGTCTTCAGTATTGTGGTACTTCAGCAAAGGTAGAGCTCCTCTGTTCATACCTTTATCTCCGTTTTGTAGAGTTTTTCCTAGATTTAAAGCAGCAAGCAACATATCTTCATCCTCTACCTCTTGCAGAGACTTTGAAAGAGAGAGTAGAAAACCTTGAGAAAAAAGAGAGAGAAGGGAGAGAATTAGGATATATGATGAGATGCACATTTTTTAGTTATTTAACACTTGCATATAGGTTTGGCACTTCTCAAATTCTAAGAAATCTTTTCCAGTTGTAAATAATTATGTTTTCCATTTCTGGAATGGCACACTTTATATATTTTACAGGTTGAATGGAAACTACTTCAATGGCTGATGAGTTCATGCTTTTAAAATGACTCATATCAAGGAGTAACCTTTTCTATAATCCTCCTAATCCCATCTGTTTAGAACTAAAACATTTCTTTGTCATACCTACTTTGTTTCTTTGTATGTTTTTAGAACAGATTAGTTTCTTTTGGTGGATCAATATGACAAAGTTCACAGAAAAAGTGATGTCCATTGGAGTTGTTTATAAAGCCTTACCTCTGGTTAAGGCAATTTAAGAGGAGGAACTAATCTACATAAGTAAAAGGGATTGTTTGATGCATCATAGTTGTGAAACTGGATTCACAGAAGAGCTGAAATTCTGGAAATTTGATGATGGCTGAGACTGCTACCATATTAAAGTTGAAATAATTAATTTGTATTTTGATGTCTGTTATGTCAGGTTGCATTATACCAAAGAGCTAATGGCTAGAAATATTCATTTGTACCTAATTAACTGTGTTTGTGTTTTCTTACTGAAAGTGGACCTTTCTCTGCTACAAATATAGTCAAATATGCTTGCTAAGAATTTAGAGAGTAAACTTCAGTTTTTCATTTAAAATGTCTTTGAAATGTATTTTTTACCCTGTGGAAGAAAATATAAATGTTTCTGCATACTAGTGTTGCATTGTTGTTGTGTGGGGCTGGTTGTTGTTGTTGTTGTTGGCTGTTTTTGTTTGGCTTGGGGTTTTTTGCCTTATCTGGAAAGCAAATAGGGCCAGCTGAAATTTAGCTAATCTGTTAATGCTGGTGATAGAAACCACACATTCATTGGCCGTGTGCCTCTTAGCTAGTGCTTCATGTTTCATCCTTTAGCTTAGTGCAGGGGACCATGCTGCTATTCAAGGCAAAGCACCAGGAAATTGGCCACTATTCCCTGCTGAACTTCCTGGAAAAGTACCTGCCTTGCCAAAGTAACTTCTTGGTAAGACATTTCATGGGAAAATATGTCATGCCAGACTAAGCAGATTTTGACTAAGAAACATTTTTGGTGTACCCTCTTTTCTCCAAATGAGAAGTTCATTTCTAGGCAAAGCATCTCTCACAAACAGAATTGTTGCTTCTCATTATTTTCATTTTCTTGCTATGGAGCCTGTACTTGCCTTTGGCTAATTGAAGTGTTTTCTTTCCTTTGACTTTAACTGTCTGGCTACAGAGGAGACAAATTTGAGAGTTGATCATATGTGGTTTAATACTTATCCAATAATTTTTATTTTTCCCTCATGTTAAGTATTTGTACAGTTTTGTTCAATTAATAAAGCAGAAGCCATGTATGCTCTCTTGCAGGTACTTTTCATTTAACTCAGCCTTGACAGAACAGGAGTGCTTTGGAGCTGTGGTGGCAGCAAGCTGTTCTTTTTCATATGTTGGTCTACCAATTAAGAGTTAGAAAACAAGCTATCAGCCCAGTAATTGTGTAGATGGCAGGAGCTTCTGCTCCTCTGGAGCTCTTCTGGCACCCACAGGTGTGCAGCATCTCACATGGGGCTCACTTTCTAATGCTTCTGTCATTTAATACAAAGCACAGCTTCAAGGAGTACAGCTGACCTGGATCATTCAGGTTGTCTGGCTACAGTGTCTGGCTGGTTTTCTACTGTGAGACACAAGCTGATGTCAGTGAAGGAATATGTTTGACAGGGCAAACTTATGCTACTTGCCCCAGGATCTTGAAGTAGTTGTTAATTTTTAAGGTTTGAAGATCCAAGGTGATTGTAAATGATAATGAGTAGAAACTTCTAACTAGGCTGCCAAGAAATCTAGAGCACATGTCTGTAGATTCAATGACTTATCAAGTGCTCTGAACAGGCAGAAAACATTTGTACACCTGCAGATACGCAATGTGTGTTTTGTGTACAGCTCTTCATAATGCCTGGGGGAATCCTAGCACTCTGACATCTACGCTTTAATTTCTTCCTCCCGCAACTTAGAATTTTAGTAAAAATGTGAAATGTTTTAATACATCACCTTCTATGTTTTACTGTTATTTGGACTTAAAAAAATATAAATAGTATTATTAACCCAGTAGTGCTTTCAGAACAATAACCATTACTTAGAGAAATACTTCTTGCTTCTACTTTGTTACAGCAAAATATGAACTCTTAACATCAGAAATCTCATGTGGTATATGTAAGTAAATAAAATCTAGGTGATAACATACTTGGACTTTCTCTATATTCATTTTGAATTCTAGGAATGGGTTACAAAACAATTGCAATAGTTTCACTTGGTCTTGTAACTAATGTAATTGCTGTGTACAAGTGCTTGAACCCAATTCCTAGTAGAAGGAAGAATAAATGACTGAAGAATAAATGAAGCAGGTATGTACTGTATAAATTCAATTATTTTCTATTATCAAAATTGAGAAACTTCACAATACAAGAGGTACTATTTAAGTAACCTTAATAAATCATTTTAGTCAATCTTAAAATAGCACAAAACCAATTGGTCAATGTTAATTTGCCCAGTGGCTTACTACTTCTGATTTTAAAAGGTGATTTGTTTGTTTTATTTTTGGTTTGGATCTTGTACATTTTATACAAACAGCTGTATTTTAGTCTGATTTGTGGAAATACTAATCCCTTCTTGTGTGTTGTTCCATCTAAATACCTCAGTTTTTAGTTCCAAACCCTTCCCACCAAACCAAACAAGCAGGTGTTAAAGTGGAGATTCTCTGTGCTAAAAATGGACAGAGCGTGTCAGCAGTTCACAAGGCAGATAAGAGGTAATTAGCACACTTCATTATTGACTGTAGGAAATTAAGACTCTTGCCCAGCACTGTTTTTTTGTTCCTCCTGCTGAATTGGTAGTCACCTGGAATCAGTAAATTGATTCAGCATGAAATAGGCACAATGTTGCATATAAGATATCAGCTCTGGACTTGTGCAGGAGCACAGCTCTAAATATTTGGAGAACCTAAAAGTCATCTTCTATAAATGTGTCAGGAGAATGTACAAGAAAAGGGTGGGGTGAAACCCCGCAAACTAAATTATTTTTACCAAATTTCTGCCCACGATCCGAGGTATCATTTCAGTCCTCTGTTGAATTACAGTCTGTGTATTTATAGAATGAAATGTTACATTTGTTTGTGTTACAAATTAATTTCACAGTTGGGAAGACTTTAAAAATATTTTCTGCTGTTTGTTTTGAAAAGCATTTCAGAATTTCATTTGAAGCAAGTACATAAAAATGTGAATATTTCTTAAGGAATTGTGCAGCAGCAGCAGAGAACAATTTATGCATAGTTTCTTCTAGCGAAGTTAGTGATAAACATATTGGTCACTGTGTCTGTCCTTTCTTAGAATTATTTCTATTATATAAAATGGTCTGTCCTTGTAGGAAAGATTTGCCAATACACTAGGTTTAGAATTAACTGATTCACTGTTTAAAAACAAATTAAACCCCCCTGAAATATATCCCTGCCTCCCTAAGTTTCTTCTTCTGAAGAACCTTTTGCAAAGCAGTCCATGTGTAAGTCTATTAAGGATGCCCAATTAATCAATGAAGTGGAAAGAGGAAAAGAGGGAGATTGCTCAAGCCATAGTAGCTTCTTAATTAAGAAAAAAACAGTGGTGATAGTGAAATATTCTATTCTCATGTAAAAATCTGCATTTCTAAGAGAAATGCCTGTGGACAAGGCGCACTCAATTATTCTGTAACCAACAGCAGGAACTTCCTTATGAGAACAATAAAGAGGATAAAAAAGACTGGGCCCCTTTGCTTTGCAGGCATATGAGAGGATTTCAGCCAAGAAAAAAAATACAGGAAAAAGCAGGAGGTGCAACTGCAATTTTGAGCTTCATTTGAGCACAGGATATCTGTGAGAGGCTTTGAAGCTGGCTATCCAGTGCAAGCCTGCTAAAATTCCTGTGATTTCTACTCTTCACCACTACTGTTCATATGGTTTTGATAGTGCTGAGGGGAGTAATTTATTTTGCATAACTGACATGAAGGCAGGAAAGCTTTTTTAGGAATATTGATTCTTGACATCTCTTTACCAATGGTGCAGGAACCATTGGTGGGTTAAGCCCCCTGAAGGGCAGTGAATGCTCTTGCTGGTGCACAGTGATGGTAAGACTGACCACAGCTGGCATTTGAGAGGAACAGAGCAGCGGTTCTTCTCTTTGCTATTATCTGAAAGGGGTCTGGGTAAGGTAAATTAATGTTATTATCAATATTGTTCCTATTATCCATGAATCCTATTGATGATGTAGTTGTGTCCTACACATGTCAGTCCAGGTTCTCTTACTGAGCTGGATCCTCTGTCAGTTTGTATGATAAGATGCAGTTCTCATGTAGACAGAGGAATGAATCCAACTCTGCTCAATTTCTTTTTAGCAGAGCAATTGTTCAGTAAATTGGCACTCCATCAAAATCAAAATGATTTACTGTTTTTCACCAGGGTTTTTTACCAAAAATGTCAGTTTTTTGGTTTTTTTTTAGGTTTGGTGGTTTTTTTTTGTTTTTTTTTTTTTTTTTTTATTTTTACATTTCAATCTCTTTTAAACACAATTGCATTTTCATCTGAATTGTTTCTACTAATGCTTTTTTCTTATGACAGAGTATAAGCCTCAGTTGTTTGGAATTTTGGTAGTTATGGAGCAATAATGCTGCATTATGAGTCCATGAAATATTTTTACACTCTTTTGGATGTCAGGTACATTTTTGAGATATGGTATTTTGTAAGGTATTCCTTAAATAAACACAGAAGTCAGAGGTGTTTACACACAGAAATGCTCTAGTATAGTTTTCACATGGTAAGCTGAGCCACATACCTAAGGTGTGGGTCTGGGTTTCTCCTCGTGAATTCTGGAAAAAGAATCAGTTATCTTTTAATTCTGTAATTGTGAAGTAAAATTTAAAAC